GGGATGCGTGTTGGAAAAGCGGAAGGAGGGAAGGGAGGACGGGTGGGGCAGAGGAGGGGTGGAAGGGGACGCACTCTCTCTCTCTCTCTCTCTCTCTCTCTCTCTCTCTCTCTCTCTCTCTCTCACACACACACACACACACACATACACACACACCTGTCGGCGGGTGGCGAGTTGGGGCAATGCGGGCGGGAGGAAGCAGAGGGGGAAGAGAGGGGCGGGGAGGGCTGAGAGGGTGGAAGGCCGGCCATTCACATTCACACTCTTTTGCCCGCCTCCCGCTTCCTCTCCCCTTCCTCCACGACCTTGTCCTTGCCCTCTTTCCCGCCGCCTCCGTCCCCATCGCCGCAGCGTCGCTGTTTTCCATATAGTCTGGGCGACGGCCTTGAGATATAGTCTTTGAAGTCTGAACTGACCGACCCCAGATTGACTTTTTTTTTTTCAGAACAATTTTTGTTGTGTTCAACTGCTTCATCTGGATTTGAACTTGGGTCAGCTTGTCAACAGTCCATGGGTGTACCAATTGGGGGTCCATGAGTGTACCAATTGCGTCCATGAGTGTACCAATTGGGTCCATGAGTGTACCAATTAGGCTAGGCTCATCGGTGGTTGACCCAGACGCAAACCTTTTTTTTTTTTTTTTTTTTTTTTGTTGTTGTTGTTGTCGAGTAACCCAGTCTAGCTGTTAGGAGGGGTGATATGAGCAGCCCCGCCTAGCAGCCTTTCTGGTGACCAAGACGTGAACCTGTTTTGTCAAACTTCATTTTCTACCACTCATGAGGCCCAACAAAATAGGTTGGGTGGGTACTTGAGGCTGGTGGGATCTGAAAGGAGTCCTGCAAAGAGGTAACCGTTTCGCTGCCATTCTAGCCCGTGTCGTCCTCTTTTTTTTTTTCTTTTTCGTTTTCCCTTTTGAAAAAAAGGGCGAAAGCCTTGAGATATCATTGTGAAACTGACCGGCCCCAGGTAATTCAGGAATGTTGTTCATCCTGACCCCCAACCAACAGTTTTGTAGACCAGGGGCAGGCTTACAATGGTATACGCATAATATGTTGCTGGATACGCAGCAATTGAAAATAAAACGCAGTAATATTTGGTCGACTGACGACCTACTCACATGCATGTGCACGATACTGAGAAAGAACATCCTAAAAAAGGGGGTAGACTGGGACACACAGGAGTGGTCGCCACTACGAAAACCATAAAGGAATAGGAGGGTAAGGGAACACACATAACGATGGACTGGGTAGAAGTTGTATATGGAAGAAATAAGAAATGGAAGCACATCCAACAGGCAGATCTAGACATAAGATCAAGCAGTGTAAACGAACTCGCAACCCGGAAAAAAGTAAAGCGTTGTGGGATCTAATGCGAGGGGTTGGGGGAAGAGCATGGCCAGATGTGATATGCGTCCAGGAAACACACCTAATGGTCACACCAGAACACCACAGGGCACACAAGCTAGCTTGGCCCTTCCAAGGCTACCAAGCTTTCGCCCCCAGGCCCGGAAGCGCCGGGGTGGCAGTATGGATCCCGCCCGAATCACGATTTGAGTTGCTCTATTGGGAAAAGGACAACGAGGAAGGGCGATGGGTTAAGGTGCTAGGCATGCTGGAACTACAAGTGGTGTGCATTGTGTCCGTATACGCCCCCAACACAACCCAAGAGAGGAGGTTGAAAAAATTGAAACGACCCCCATCCCGGATATCCTATTAATCTTAGCAGGGGACTTCGATGCCACACCGGATAGATGGTTAGACCGTTGGAAAATCTACCCAACCACTGCACTCAACGTTCAGGAGGATGAGCGGATGTTGAGAGACTTGTGCACTCCCCTCTCACTATTTGACACCTTTCGCCGCGCTTACCCGACCGAAAGAGCCTTTACGTGTATTCAAAACAACGACCATGC